ACGTAGCTTTGTGGTTGAAAAGTTGTTTCTTTAGTGATGGAAAATTTCCTCTTACTCTTTTCATGCTGTGCCTTTAATTTTTATTGATTTTTGGTAATGGACAAAAATTTGACATAAAAGGGTATAGCATCATAAATCATCCCAAAACACTTCGAGTGCAGCATTTGAAAACTAGAATGCCAATAGTTAACAGATTTTATGTGAGTATCTCCTAGCTCCTCAGCCTGATGGCTTTATATTAATTATTTAAATAATTCCTCATTAAAATTTAGCTGCAGGATTGGTTTATTTGTTTTCAAAGGGGAGTCTGGATATTTATGTAAATTCTAAAAATTGAGTGGTCCACCCCCAAATTTTTTGAAAAATTCATTTGTATTGCTTGGGCCTCATGGAAAAGTCATCCCAACAGCACTAAATTCGCCAGGAGGGTGGAGCCACACGCTGAAATTCTAGATGTTCTATTATTAAAGCAGACTTGAGAAGTCAGAGGAAAGAGGCATCTCTTCACAGATTCATTATATGGGCAGAGTGATGCTTCTACATGAACGTCAGTGCTGGTGCCGACGCGACAGGAAAGCTGTGGTTGGAATATTTGGGGCCGATGGGGCAACACTTAAAGGTACTCTGGTCACTAAATCAAGCGTGAGAAGGATCTCAGGGCCCGCATTGCTACTGGGGCACTTTCCTGCGATGGAGAACGTGTATCTAAGATCACCCTGGGATGCACTGGTGAGACTCACCACCATGCAGATGTGGGACTGGGGTGAGGACAGCCACAGTGTGACTGGGCTGTGAGACCTCCTGGCTTCTCAGCCCCATGGCATCTGATCAGCTTGTAAACCTGTAATTCTGGAAAGGTCGTTGGAACATGAGTTTGGGAATTTTCTTCAGTGAAAAGGTAAGTGTGAGAGTGTATGCACTTATGTATGCAGGGTAGATGGGTACACGCAGAGAGAAAAAGAAAAACAGAGCAGGTAACATGTTGTAAGCACCTACTACACGCCAGGCATTATACTACACCAGGCATTCACAGAAACTGATTTAATCTTCACCCCAACTCTATAAAATTCATCAGCTCTGCTTTGCAGATGGGGGAAATTAAGGTTTAGAGACTTTGGTAATTTACCCATGATTCCTGGCTGACATGTGGCAAAGGTGGTATCAGGATCACATTTACCTGTTCGGGGAGTTCTGTGGTCATTGCCCTGCTTAGAGATGGTATTTCTCTTGGTACCTGGGATGAAACTTGAAAATAAAGCCTGAATTCAAAATGAGGACAGTCCCCTGGCATGTTGAAGCCCCGGGCTAATTTTTCTCAGGTACGTGGTAAAGTAGAGTGTGTGGAGTGGGAAGGCAGTGAGAGCCTCCGCCTGTGCAGCCGGCTCCTGCTCCTGGGGTTCCCTCTGTCATGCTGCAGGCTGACGGTGCTCACTTCTGTTCTGCTGGACGGTGAGCCGGGGCCTGGGGTATTTGGGTTGTTCTCCTGACTTCATCACACTAGTCATGTGGCTTTGGAGGACTCTCAAATATGCTACGAATTGAACTCAGGTACCTAATTTTCTCTACTTAATTTTCATTTCTTCCTGCAAGGATGTGGAGGTGTAAAGTTTATGTGCAATTTAAAATTGCACACTATTTTAAGTCACACTTGAACTTTATGGCCACCCTGTATGTGTACAGTACATCCCAATCATTGCAGAGATTAAGCTCACAGGCTGTATGTCAATCCATTCTGCGCAGGTGTGATTCTTAGTTATTACTGCAGCCTCATAATCTTGGCCAAATAACTCATTTCTGTATGTGTCAGTTTTCTAATCTGTAAAATGGTCTCATAATAGTATCCATCGCATAGGGCTATTGAGAGAATTAGACTGATGATGTCAAGTACCTATTAAACACATAATAAATAATTTAAAAATGATTACTATTATTAAAATGTTTAACTCACATGATTTCTAAAGTATTAAAAGAAATACCATATATAAGAGTGAACTGTCTAGTAATTTAAATATCATTAGCAAGAGGGAGGTTAAATGAAGGAATGACTTCAAGGTTCTATAAGGACTCTGTACATGGCTTGGCGCCTGTGGCTCAAGCTGCTAAGGCACCAGCCACATACACCTAAGGTGGCGGGTTCGAATCCAGCTCGGACCCGCCAAACAACAATAATGGCTGCAACCAGAAAATAGCTGGGCGTTGTAGCAGGCGCCTGTGGTCCCAGCTACTTGGGAGGCGGAGGCAGGAGACTCGCTTGAGCCCAGGTGTTGGAGGTTGCTGTGAGCAGTGAAGCCATAGCACTCTACCCAGGGGGACAGCTTGAGGCTCTGTCTCAAAAAAAAAAAAAAAAAAAAAGACTCTGTACGTAACTTGGTTATCTTGAATATTGAAAGAAATATATGGAATGTATTTTCATGTTTGGATGAAAAAATGTGGGATGTATAGGAAAGTTACATAGCTAGAAAATGAAATTCCCCTAAGGTGTTTTAGTAAAACATTTAGGAACTTAAGTTTGTAGCTCACCAATCTACACAACCTCTTCTGTTCCTTCCTCCTCGGACCCTAAGGCTTTCCGCGTAGTTAACTGATTTGTTCTACCTACCAAGCACGCTTATTTTTGTCTCCAAAGTTCTTTGTCTGAGCAAAGGAATGGTTTAGAATCATCTGTTTATGTGGCTGTTTAGCATCTGTCAGCATTTTCTGGATAAAATTACATTTTCGGTGGCTTCTAATCCTGCTGTGAAGTTTTGCTGCCTGCTGTGGCTTGGCACCAGCACCCTTAGTTCTAAAGCAATTATAAATAAATAAAGTCGGATAAATATTTCAGAGAATTATTTTTATTTTTCACTTGCTTATTGACTATAAGGTTAGCGTTTCCCCTCCATTTTCCTTTTGGAATTGAAATCCAAGTAGTCGAATATTTCCCAAGGTGGAATTATGATTATCATTAGGTTCGGAGGTGAGGCACCAAAGGCTTATTTCAAAGCTTATAAAATGGTCGTTAGTCAAGTCCACAGCAAGGAGAGCAATTAGTTATGTATTTGTTACGTATTTACAGATCCTGGGATTAAAGGGTTTAAATATGTCCGTTAGCATAGTTAATATTAACTGCATGTCATGATTCGTTGTCATTCATTTACTTGTTCAGAATTATTTTTTTCTCTCTCTGCAGTTTTTTGGCTGAGGCTGGGTTTGAACCCACACACACTTGGCATATGGGGCCAGCACCCTACTCCTTGAGCCATAGGTGCTGCCCCAGAATTTTTAATATATATGTCTAATTATTATTATTAGTGATATCCTCATAGAAAATGAAAAAAATTATAGCCAGTTTTAAAATTAGTCATAGTGTTTTAGGTTGTTTCTATTGACTAATTCCATGGGAGTAAGCAAACCCAGCTGTGAAGTGCTGTAAAATATCTAAGATTGTTACTTTAGGACAGGGTTTCACAGCCTTGGTACTGTGGACAGTGCTGGTCTGGGAACTGTCCTGGGGGGCTCTGCTGTGCATTGTAGGCTCTTAGCAGCCTCCCTGCCTGTATCCATCAAGCTGCTCTAGGAAGCCCACAGTTGTGGTAGCCCCAAAAGTCATCATGTGTTGATAAATGTTCCCTGTAGGTAGAATTGCCCCTGGTTAAGAATCATTGCATTAGGATATTTATTTTGTATTGAAACTTATGTATAATATTATCATCTTCAAATATTTAATTTCTTCCAATAGAATTAATTAAATCTACATTGAGTATCTGAAAACACCTGGGACAGCAGCCTGAAGGTTTTATTATGCCAAATAATGAGACTAACTGCTCATGGTACCTTGATTTTGTCATTTGGTAGGGAAAACCAAATTATGGTGCGTGTTAGTTTTGGGAAATAAGTTACGTCACTCTGATCTATTAACACTGCATTAAAAATTGCTGTTTCCATGCCCCTGTTTTTAGCACTAACTTAGGAAAACAAAGTTATTCTCATAGTTCAATGTGATCTCACTGAATGCATAGTTATGTGAGAGTCATTTATAATATTATAAATAGGATAGGTGTTGACATAACTCTTTCCTTAGAACATTTATAATCTGGAGGAGAATATAAAATCATAAACTACTTCCTGAGATGGATGTTATGAGCAGTGCGGATGGACTACTGTGGGTAAAATCAATGAAGCTTAAACTCTTAGGCTGCTCATACGCAAAGGTTTCTTCCAAAGCCTACTTTTGTATTTGCAAATTTTCACTCTTCTTAAAGAAGGCCCCAGGAACTGAGTAAGTTTAAGGCCTCCCTGACTTGGATCTGTCTCTGAGCGTGGGGTTTCAAGGGCTGTAGAGACAGAGGCTGTAGTTAGAGGTGAGTGTATTAGAGAGGGTCCCTGGGGGATGGGCACATGGGTTGCCTCTCACTGCATATGTGGTTGTGGCAATTGTGTCTCCTCTTCTATGCAGAAACGTAGAGTTAAATGCCAGGGAGCCGACCTGTGGCATCACTCTTTGATCCCCAGCCATTTTTATTTCTCTACATACCTGGGGAATTCGCAATGCCTGGTTTGGCAGAGGGTGGAGTTGGGGACCCTCCATCCTGTGATTTAATGTGTGTTGTGGATGGTGCTTTGGAGTGTTGCAGACTGGATGTCTGATTAAAAATGACAGGCCACCTGTGCCAAGGGCAAGCCATCAGGGGTTGTGTGCCCCTGAGGTTTGGGGCAAGGAGAGCAGGAGGAGGGGGATGCGGAGTTGAGAGGTGGCAAACAGAGGAAGCACGTGGCAGGGGTTGTGGCAAGGGCACAGGGCAGGGCCCAGTGGGGGAGCCTGGGGGCTGTCTGGGTGTCTTGCCACAGGCACTGGCACCACTGCTTCATATCTGGGGTTTGCCTGACCTCCAGGAAGCATCCCCCATTATTCCAAACCTGTCTCTCTTTGGCATGAGGTTGGCTCTGGACTCTCTTTGTGCTCTTACGTTAGAAATCCACCAAGTTCCTTCCATTCTTTCATGATTTCTTTTCTTTTTCAGCCTTAAGAGATCCTCGGTTTTACTCCTGCCCCATCTATAAGAAACCAGTTCGAACGGACTTGAACTACATCGCGGCTGTGGACCTCAGGACAGCTCAGGCCCCTGAGCACTGGGTGCTCCGTGGAGTCGCCCTTCTCTGTGATGTCAAGTAACATGGGGGGAGAGGCCCCTCCCAGTGCTTTGGAAAATGCAAGGTCTGAGTTTCTTGTCGCCTTTTCCCTCTGTGAGCGCTGGACAGTGTGTTAATCAGGCTGCCTGTGCAGTGACTGAGCCACGTAGGTTTTCCTGCTCCTGGACTGAAGGAGCTGGGAAAGTTATTTAGAGATTTAAAAGTAAAACTTACAACTTGCCAATGAAGTGTGGCACTCAAACTCCCAGTAATCCATTTTCTCCTTATTTCACTCTGAAGACTGAGGATGGGAAGCAGGCGGTATTTCTCCTGAAGGGATTATTTTTCTGTTAGTGTGGTCCGGTAACAGCTGAGTTCTCTAAGGCAACAAGGCAGGTTTGTGCTGATTTTGCTTCTATTCACTTTGCATTTAGGTCAGGTTAAGAGATTTATTTTCAGAACTTTTAGCAGCCAATTAAAAAGACCTTTTAAAAAATAGAACAAAATTGAAGAATGTATTAAGAATGTAAATAGAGAAGTTATAGAAACCTATGGAATAAACGTATAGAATAATCTTCAATCCTACTCATAATGATGAGATACTCACTGATATGTCTTATAATAAAAAAATTAAAGCTAAAAGGGAATCTAGAGTGTTCTATGTAAAACTGATACACCCAGAAATTGGTAGAACAATGTAAATCGACCCCAAATAATTAAGTTAAAGACAGAAAGAGCCATCCAGATGTTCACATACTTTGATAATCATTTTCTCCATTCCAAGAAAACAATTTAAAAGACTACAAATTCTACAAAAATTGTATTTAATAACAGACAAAAATGGAAATGACTTGTGTTCAATCGTAAGGCTGTGCTTAAAGAAAAATAATCTCGAAAATTTTACAATATGGAAATGGCAAACATAAGATTAGTGAAAGATGTAATTTCTAAACTACTGAGTACACTGTGATTATAAATATAGAATATATTCACATGTGGAAAAAGATTAAACAACAATGTGGGAAATAAAAACATGTAGGATAATATGGCAGTATTTGTAGCTAGCTTGAAAATATATGATGATTAGAAGAGAAAAAAAGAAAACAAAAATATTGGTGTGGGGTGATTTCTTTCTTTTTTTAATTAAATCCTAGCTGTGTACATTAATACAGTCATGGGGTACAGTGTGCTGTTTTTATAGGGTGTAGGGTGATTTCACATGAACTTTATAATTAGGAAATACATTAAGCAAACTTTTCACATATTTTTATTTTAATTTCTGGCATGAGGGGGGGTAATTTTATTGGTGGTGGCTGCCCGGTGGCTGCTCGGAGAGAGGCGTGGGTCCCTCTGCCCAGGTTCTGCTCTGTGCACCCAGGTTCATTATTCTTTGCTGCTGCTGCTGAGCTGGTCTCGCATGGATCTGTGACTCCGACCAACTGAGAAGATACTGTGTTCATTGCAGCCGTTTCAGTTGGTGTAATTAATGGCTCAGTGGATAGGTGTGGACTGTGGTCAAACGGTCATTTTGTTTTGAAGAACAAATAATGGAAATGTGAACTTCATGGGAATTAATAAAACATTGTTCATAAATACCTAAATTTTGATTGTTATTTATTACCAAGGGGGTAATTGGCACTAAGTATCTAGAAATAAGCTTTCAAAACTGGATATTTTCACCAAACAGTGTTAAAATGTGTAATTCCGACAGTTGCATGACACATGCCCATTAGGATGTGTGTACGTGTCTTGGAGACCCCAGGTTAGAAAAGGACAGAAGGAAACAACGGGACGTTTTAGGAACTACTCCCCCAGCGTGTTTCTGCAGCACTGCTGTGTCCAGGAGGCCCTTCCTGCTAAGCTGCTCCGCCCTTGTCCTGGCTCTTCCACCAAGGGCCGTAGCCATTTCACAGAGTCAGGTGGACAAGAAAGGACCGATTGATTGAACCTGCCAGGTGATGGAGAGGGGCCCCTATGGCCTTGGACATGGAGAAAACAAGAGCCAGGGCCTGGGTAGCCTCACGAAGTCATAAAGCAATCTTTTCACCTGTCTTATATTGATTTATTTTTAGAAGTATTTATTTCATACCTCCTGGCTATCAAGCACTCTGCTACCCTGGTGGTACAATGGTGAAAAAAAAGTACAGTACTTGATCTCATAGAATTCACCTGAGAGGGATAGACGCAGAAAATAAGCAATCATTCAGGTACGTACGTACTTCCATTTAAACTCAATTTATGAGTGTTTAACAGGACATGTGTGAGGTCTGTAGACAGTAGCACAAAGATTGTGGGTTAAGGGCTATAAAGGAAAATACCAGACAGTGGGAGCCGGAGTAACAGGGGGACCTCAGCACATCGACTGTGTCACTGGTTATAGGCAGAAACCATGTGATAACATCCCCATTTCTTTTCTTTGTTGATATTATCTTTAATTGATGAATCAATTGTGTTACCTTTATGGAGTACAGTTTGATGTTTGATATGTGCGTACTGTGTGGAGTGATTAGATCAAGCTCATTTACATATTCATTACCTCACTCGGCATTTATTTTATGCATTTTTAAAATTTACTTTTTTAATTACGCTTTGTAATTGTACGTATTTATGAGGCACGATTTGATGTTTTGACACCCAGCTGTGTTGCAGGATGACCCCATCAGAGGAGCTAGTGTGTTTATCACCTCATGCGTTCATCATTTCTTTGTGGAGACAACATTCAAAAGCCTCTCTTCTGCTTATCTGACACTCATTTTTAACTAAAGATGCAGAATGTAAGAGCAGTGGGGTGCTGCCCTGAGGCAGAGCTGCCACTTCACATCCTGCCTGGGTCTTCCCTGCTCCTTGGGTTCCCTGGGCAGCCCTCCGCTGTTGGTGACCCGCTCTGTGCAGGTGGAGGCCTTCCAGAATTGAGACAAAAGGCAAAGTCTTGCCTCATAAAAGGCTGCCCCTTTACGCTTGAGGCATCCGTCATCATTCCATGGAAACTTCCCTTGGCCTTTTCTGAGCTTCCCTCTAAAGGAAAGTCAGCAAATATTGAACCAACTGTGCTTTTGGGAGGCCACATACCCATCGGGGCTCAGCACAGAGCCGTGGTCCAGGCGTTCTTGGGCAGCATCTCTTCCAATGCTCTTTGTCTGCAGAGACCTAAGTTGATCTGGCATAAGGAAAGGCAGCTATGAGGCGGGGACACCTGCATTTAGATTTGACAAGAAGGGAAAACACTCTCACCTGTACTGATGACTGGATTCTTGCTCTGTAAAGGGAGAAGGTAGGCCCAGAGTCTGAAGGGAGGTGACCTAAATACACGGCTTGGAGCACAGGGCCGCTTCCCTCCCGCCCTGCTTTCTTCCCTTTCATGGATTTAGAGGGTATAATCTTTTTTGGTTACATGAATGAATTGAATAGTGGTGAAATCTGGGCTTATAATGAACCTGTCCCCTAATAATGTACCTTGTACCTAATAGCTAATTTTTCTACCTTCGTCTCCCTCCCCCCTCCCCTTTCAGAACCTCCAGTGTCCACTCTAACACTCCGTGTGACTGGGCATACTTCAGCTCAGCTCCCAGTTACAAGTGCGAACATGCAGTATTCAGTTTTCTGTGCCCGGGTTACTTAACTTAGAATAATGGCCTCCAGTTCCATCCAAGTTGTCGCAAAATACATCGTTTCCTTCGTTTTTATGGCTGAGTAGTATTTTATACCTTGTTGATGGCTGCCAGTACGGAGAAGTGGCTGATTGAAATCATTTGCTTCTAAGACATTGAAAAGAGGGAATTCTTATTTGTGTTAAATGCTATTTGCGTTGGGAAAGATATCATTGTAAAGAATCCGATATTAAAAGACATGACGAGGCAACCATGAATTGTACAGTTAAGTAGCTTGTAGTATCTGCTGCTCAGAGGAAATACACAGCAGCAGCAATGTCATTACCAGTGATAAACTTCTCTTCAAAGATGTGACGTTATGTAAAACTGGAGACCTGTCTGCACACTGATAATGCAGTTTCTGGATTTATGAATAATTTCTCTTAAAGATGCCCCCCCAAATCCACAATACACATTTTCCTCCTAAAATGGCCCTCATGAGGTACATTGTTACTTTGAAATTTTTAGTAATTTTATAAGTATTAGGAGTGTTATAAAAAAATATTGTGCAATTAATTACTGTTGATTAGTAGCCCCCGTTGGCACATGAAAATGATGCCTCTTCAGGGTAAACAAATGGTATGCTTATATTCACAATATGATCTTCCAGATTGGGTGAATGCTGTGGAAAACCAATAAATGGTTTTGAAAACATGAAGAAACCTAGGAGCATTCTTGAGGCTTCTGTATTCTGGTCTGTTGACTGGCGTCTGCTGGGTCCCACATGTGCCTATCAAGTGTCCATGAATGTCTCCAATGAAGGAGGGTAAGAAAGAGTTCTGTCAGCTTCAGACTCAGGTATGATGTTTGGCTAAGAAAGTATGAATTCACAGCCATGTTCTTAGCCGTTTTAAATGGTGAGACTTATTCTGCGTTGCACTTTGAATAAAATGAACTTTCTGTGAGAGTCGAATGTGGTGTTTGTCCATCCTGCGCCCTGAGAAGGTTTTTTGCTTCTGGTTTGCAGCCTGGAAAGACCGTAAATCTGAGGCCCGGGTAGACAGTAAGTACAGGCAGCCTGGTACTCTCGCCTTTCACTTGCATGAAAGAAAATGAAAATGTGGAGACCAGACAGGAAGGGCGGACCTGGAGGGTGAAACGAAGTAACCTGAGTGGGGCGCAGGGTGGATAAGAAGTGGCTCTAAGTTTCTTTTCCTCAGACACCTTTACAACATGTTTGTTAGCAAGAACCCTGGCAATTACGAGACAATGAATTAACCTAAAAAACTCCCCAAAGGAGCCTTTTAAAAATGGCTTATCCATCCTCTGGATTGCACCATTTTCATTACAAAATGCCAACAGTTTTATGAGCTGATATGATAATGTCAGTGCCTTATGTGATGTCATCTGAGGTCTTATAAAAGTCCTATCAGCCCCTCCCTCTCAGGAAGGCCCA